AATCACTACGAATCTTTTCCTGATTGGTTGGTTGACAGATTGTCTCTAAGATAAAACTGAACCACTTTGATTCATTAATATAATTTTTGATTACAAATCAACCCCTCTGAGAAGAAACCTATTTTACTCTGACAAGTCCATAATTTCAGAGAGTATCTYGTATTTCAGTTTGCTGACATTCTTATTTTAATCTTGTTTGAATCTCCGGCATGCTGCTTTCTTTGAAGACAAAATTCGCGATAAAACTATGGTGGAGGGAGGGGAAGGGTAGATCGATTGGAGGAAAATTAAATATGAATAAATAAATATAATCATTAAACACAATTCCATCACAAGAAATAAATTGCTATTGTTACAAAATACAACATCATTGGTTCTAAGAAAATCCAAGAGAATCGTATATTTTTGCTTGAAATAAACATGATCCATGGTAACTTTTTTGGGAAAACCGCGTGTATCTGTGCGGCCAGCTTTCTAGTAAGGCATCAAGAGGTATTAATTCGTTTAGACATGCCACTTTTTATAGACCCCTTGCCGTGTGCATATTTACTATCGTCTATGAGGCTGCTCTTATAAAGAAAGAATTCTTTTAAAAACCCGATAGTACACCAAAGTCGTTTTGAAAATAATTTTTCGTATTAATAGTCTTTGGAATACGTTTGTGTGTGTGTCCCAGATTTCTAACGCCGCCAAAAGTGTTAGTTTATTTAGGAATGCAATGACTTGTTATGTTAGAGTCGTTGTCATGTGCAACGTTCCTTAAGCATAGGTATTTAGCTTCATCTTAAAGACCAACATCTATTCTGCACGAAAGTGCTCTAGGAAAAGGCTTCGTTTTAAAAATAATGTTTTCGTTATTAATCCTTTTTGGAAAGGGTTTGTTAAGTGTCAGTAGTTTTCAAAGACGCCAGAAGTGATAGTTTTTATCAGAAATGCAACTTTTTAGAATCGTAGCGTTACCATGTKCACTGTATTGTGGTCTTGCTATTTAGCTACTTTAACTTACTATTCTATAGAATGAAAAATGTTAATTAAACCGAATCACGGAGACTGCACGAGGGACCATTGTTAGTTCTTGTAGAAAATATCTGTCTGTGCTTGGATTCCATAATACGATACAAGGTTGAGAAACAGAATGGTACTCTTCACAGTTCCCTGCGCCATATAGAAAGGTAACCGTGCTTTTGCATCGTGGCGAGAACGGCGGTGACCTTGCAATGATAGACACGTGTGAATAATTGCCCAAGGTGTTAAAAAAAGGTCTCTGTTATTCCAAGATCAGTGTCGTCCTCGTTTCGATGCATATGCAGGCACGGTTACCTTGCAGGGTACTGTAAAGAAGCCCTGGCCTTTATAATTGCTCAATGTCCAATGGTTTTTGGATTAGGTTATTTTTAGGGAGGGATTATATTGGCGTTCAAGGGTTTTTCTCCAGGTTCTTCGGTTCTCTTACGCTACTAACTGCTATCCTCGCAAGACAAAGAGTATTTGGAGGGTAATTTTTGGTTAAAGAAATCCCTGGGCAGTTTTAGGAGAACGTTTTGTCGTGCGTTCAGTCTTCGACCAAATACTTATCGAACGTATTAAGATAAGCGAGAGAACCAAACGATCGACGTTTTGTTTCTCTCAATATGCTTTGCAGGCATGGTCACGTGTTTTATTATCGTTGTTAATAGCTGTTTTCGATTTTGCTGCTCATGGATCCCGACTCATCAGTCCTCTCACTATTCTCTCGTCCTACATTGAATGCTCGGATCAAGTAAGATTCAACAACTATAGATAAGAAGTGCAGTGTTAACACATTTTGTAATCGTTCCTCAACATATTCAACAAATTAAAAGCGTATGAGAAGGACGTAAAGGAGAAGAAGCCTAAGATTTGGACGATTCTCTGTAGTCATAAACACGGTAAAAAGACGATTAAAACTATTAATGACTCACTGAAGGTTTTGGTCAGTTTAGTAACTAGTTTTATTGTTTTCCCAAATTGACATTGACAAACAATCTATAGCTTGAATTGAGCGTACACATTGACGCAAACACGACCAACGTTGTCGACTTCGCTCCAGTTCTTCAGATCTTCTCCGTACCAGATCCTTAACTCTTTCTCCAAGGGGAAGTAAAATGGTGTGCGGTAATCCATAAAGACCAGTTCATCGGCATCTACGGGGTTAATGAACGGCATCCAATAATATAAAGCAGCAGGATACCTACAAATGTAAATATTTGTTTGATTCATAATGTTTTTGGATTCTTGTTCAGAACTCAGTCAGCCTACTGTACATACTTTCTACCCGTCTTTCTTTCACTTTACGCCGTGTCTCTTCAGTCTCCTTTCCTTCTTTTTTCCTCTCATTTTCCCCGCTTCCCTTTCCTCACCTTTTCCTGTCTCTTTTCACATCCCATGTTCAGTTGTCCCTCTCACCCATCCTTCCCACTTCCCTTTCCTTTCCCTCAAATATTATTTTTATCTTTAGACTTACTTGACATATTTTTTCTTGGGAAACAAAACATTGTCGTTATCGTCAGTCACAATGACATTGAACGGATAGTCTTTAACGAGAGAATAACCATTGCATCCCCACCGACTATCGTACTGAACTTCCTTCAGACAGCGAATCGTTCCCGACACGTACTCCAGTTTAATGGCCGTGATCAATCCTTCTCGGACATAGTTGTAAAACGAACCGTAGTGGTTGCCTTTGCCTTTGAAACAGACAGTATGCTGGTTAATTTTCACCCAATCGCTATCCTCGCAGCTTTTCTGACCTTGATCATCTACAAGAAAAAAAAAGACACAAAAAAATATATTTGATTTTCATTTTTGGCTGCTTTAAGAGACTAATTAGCATAATCGTGTGACGTCATTATCGCCATGTTGTTTATGCAAATTATGCCGCCATTGACTTGACTTGACAAAACAAAAATTAAATAAATAAGCATCTACTTCTAAAAGAACAAGCTAATATGTGTGTTCTTAAAATTTTTTATTATTATTATCAAAATTCCAATGAAGTTATTTGAATCAAAATTGGCAGATAATTGGTCAACTTAGGACTGACTAGCCGCGTCCTGGTGTTTTTTCCCCCTCACACCCAGAAACTCTCATTTATAACTTCTCAAGAATAAAATTTTTTTCTCTAACTTTCTAGCTTTGTTGATAACATTAAAATCTATAATGCCTGAATTATTCTTCTTCTACGAATTCATCACGGCAAATTAATAAAATAAGAAATAAAGGTGGAAGCACCAACAATAAATTGATAAAATAAATTAAATAAATCGTAAGTAAATTAAGAATGAATTATAAATAAATCAAGAATAAGTTAAGATGCCGAGTCATGATAATGATAATGAGTAAGGCAAAAGGAATCACCAACGACATTAAAGGTCTTTATCGGAATGTTTTCCACCCACACGCTGTTAACTTTTTATAACGATTTAAAGAAACACTCCAAATTAGAAGTTGAGCGGCGGTTTAACTAGACATTGACTTGTTCATTTTGGCAAGTAAAAATAAAAATATGTCTTTCATAAAAAAGCTGTTTCTAACCGAAGTTCATGCCTGATATTTCAGATCTCCAACCGACGTTTTTTGAAATAGATATAGAATATTTTAGATTATTTTACCGACATTCATGGAAGACCTTTTCAGAACGCTCCATATATAAATCCTACATAAACAATAAAGCTGAGATCAGAAAAGCATGTCTTGCACCGTAAAACCCTCAACGAACTCGTAGACTCTTAGCCTACTATAGTAGAACATTGGGAAGAAAAGCAGATTATTACAATTCTTTACAAAGTTTTTTAAGGACATACCATGAAATACGCACTCAAAGTTGTACAAATTAGTGTAAAGTTTTGTAGCAACTATTTATGCAATTTCTTTGAAGAATATATGGTATGCACCCACTCTATGCGCAGCTAACGCCAATCTACAAGACAACATTAGGGTAGTTCTTACCAACAACCTCTGACACATCGGACAC